GTGGAAGTGGATGGCAAGCTTCAATGCCATTATTATCAATGCTGATTCCCTTATTGCTGAAAAATGATATTATCTGTTTTTCAAAAGTTCCTTGCTCTTCATCCCTTTCTTCGGTATTGTTTGCTTCTGTAACAGCCCGGGCATATGATCGTGGCTTCATTTCCAACCCACTAATTATAACATCATTCATTCGACTGTATTGTTCCAAATCAGCCACACGATGTTCCAGGAAGGCTATTTGCTTGTCTTTCTCTACATTCTGTCTCTTCAATTCTTTAACCTCCCCCATTAAGTTCATTATTATTAGTTTTTGTTGTTGTGAGATTGTTGCTATCTCACCAGACATGAAATCCAAGGATTTCTTTATCTCCTCAAACTCCTCCTCTGTCGTGGATCGACTTTGCTTCGTATGTCTTTTCGACATCTCCGTTTACTCCGAACAATTTGATGGTCCGGCGTTGGAGTTCCAGCTCAGGAGTTGCAGCAGCTGCCCTGCTCTGTAGCCGCCAGTCAGATATTGTAGTGGGAACCCAGCGTAGCCGCAGCCGCTAGGTGTTATCTCAGCAACAGCAGCCCAGCATTGCAGCCTTAGCTCAGGTATGGAGACCCACCTCAGATGTTGTAGCCGCCTACCAGGTGTTACCGCCACAGCAGCCTCTCAGCGTTGTAGCCTCCGGTCAGGTGTTACCGCCACAGCAGCCTCTCAGCAACTGCCACAGTTTCAACAGGTTGGCCATCGAGAGAAACTGGAACCACTTTAAGGTCTTGTTTAGATCATTTAATTAGCTCTACATTCTTAAGAGAATGAAAAATTAATAATAAAGACTTTGCGGTATTCTGATTTAGTACTGTAATTATATTAGTTGTTTCCACCCCCACGCCACTAGAGGCAGTAGCAGGCCCGAAAAGATGCGACTAAGGAGCAGATTTAGAAGTACACCGAAAGCTACAGAATTTGGTAAAAATTTTGAGCTTTGCTGAAGTAATTAAAGACACAAGTTCAAATCCATGCTGAGAGTGGAGCTCCTTCACTCAGTGCTCCTCCGCATTACAAGCAATGTAACGTGATCCTCTGCAGCAAGTGATAACAAAGCGGGGCGTCATCACGACTTTACACAGTGTGTCTTTACCTCCAAGGCAGAGGCTTCGCCGAACCCCTGAGACCGACTCATCGAACCCCTGGAGTTCGATCGAACCCAGGTTAAGAACCACTGTCTTAAAATAAACAAAATAAATATTTTTTTTGTTGGAAACAGCCTTGTTTCTCAAATTAAAGTGTAAATCCTACTGCATGAAATGTGCTTTTTTCCACGCCATCATGTCTTCCTACAGCCCAATACTGTAACAGAGGTCAGCAGTTATAAAACTTGCAATCTGGGTGTTGATAAAGGCTTTTGATTGTCAGCAACAATACAATTCTTTCATATCAGTTCTTAGTTGTACAAAATTGCATTGCAATCGGTCTGTTATCATCCAGTCATTGTTTGAATAACAGCTAATGGGTTTCTTATAAACCCCAGAGCTTTTCTGAACAGAAAGAGAAAGTAGGAAAACCTCTCTGACCTGTTTGTTCTTTCAGCAGCCTCAGTTAGTGTTTAACTCCACAGCAGCAGAAACACAGCAGAGGTAGGACTAGAAAAACTCTTTGCTTGCCTTTTTCATATGACTGTGCTCATAAGGGAATCTAATTTTTGTTTTAATACTCGTATGTAAAACACTGAATGCAATCGATGAATTGAAGACTAACTTCATATGTAGCTTTCTCTTTTTAAGTGAATGTATAATTATTGGCTTTGCACACTTATCTGAATAATTTTGAACTGACAAAGAACAGATAGGATGCAAGGTTCATTATATAATGGCTGCTAATATACGGTTAAGCCCAAAATTATTTATACTCCTCATAGATTTAGAGATATGGTGTTGGGTTAAAAAAAATAACCACTCACTGAGTGAGCAGCGAGTATCAAAGTCAGTCTACCAGAAAGGAAACGGGCAGAAATCCTTCAATGCAAACATGTTTACAAAATGAATGACGTAGAAATAAAAATACATTTGTCATGAAAAAAATGTGGGAGGAAAATACAGTTCAGCCTTAAGCTGCACTTTGATGGGACAAAGGTTACTGTATTTTCCGCACTATAAGGCGCACCTTCAATGAATGGCCTATTTTAAAACTTTTTTCATATATAAGGGCATAGAATGGACATATAGAATAGACGCTACAGTTAGCTATTTGTTCCGTACTCTACAAACGTGGATGTCTATTAATAAGGAATTGGTCCCCAAGTAAGCTGCCCCAGTCATTGTTTCACTCACGGTGTTGTGCCCAACTGCTTTCTGGGTAACACAGACTGACTGACACGTTGCCGCCGCAGTCTCTGTCTCTCTTAATTTCCCTCTTGTCTCTGTCTCCCCTCCCCCCGGCTTTAAATATATAGGGGCTTGTCCCTTGGAAACTCTAGTCGAAGCACCCCGGATGAATGCCTAAAGCCACTTTGTTGACATAAAAAATGTCAAAACAGTCTGACTCTGGTCGGCGAGGAGAGCTTCCTCGACTAGGCCGGGGAGTGGGACCTGCAGATGACCTGATTCTAGACGGTCGGTAGGTAGATAGGTCAGTCAAACTTTATTAACAAACCAGCATTCTGACAATTATCCCAGCATGCACCGCGCTCTTCTTCTTCTACGGGGGAAAATGAAGTCGGCGACTGCTGACCATAGTTGCTACACCTGTTGTGGCTCAATATTGGTCCATATATAAAGCGCACCTGATTATAAGGCGAACTGTCGGCTTTTGAGGAAATTGAAGGTTTTTAGGTGCGCCTTATAGTGTGGAAAATACGGTAATCCCTCCCTTTCCTGTTGTGAGTGAACCTCTCTTTGTTCATCACCAACAAGTTTCTCAATTGCTGACCTCAGATTATCTCATATCACTGCTACGAGTTTGTCACAATAAGGTTCTCTGTACCACTTAATTACTGCAACATTGTGGTTAAAAACACATTTTGTTGGTCAAAACAGCCTCTCAGTCTGGGTCAGAATGCAACACAATCATGAGGAAGACTGTATCTTACTTTTTGTTTCTTTCTGTTAGGTAACCAAAACATGAGGAATCCTGTAGGTGAGTGAATATGTCAGCTGATATGAAGTGTGAATTTGTAGTGTCATAACTTTTTTGTTTTCTCTCCCCCACCAGCTAAAGTTCAGACAATCACTACAGGGGAAACCTTTGGAGCAGATGTGGATCTGATGAACCAAGTCATCCAGAAGGATACAAGTCGGGATGTACAACACATCATCCTGTTCTGTCCAATCACATCTCGTGTTGGTTCAGATGTGGAGGCAGCCTTGGAAAAAGTCCCATGTAAGGAATCAGATTGTTTACATTTGGTTGTTTCTTTATGGATAAAATTATAAAGAGATGGTTTGGTTGTTTGTCAGTTCTCAAAAGGTTGCAAGTGCATCATTTGGTCTAAAAGTCTTACTTGGTTGTTTCACTTATATTCTCTTGCTAGCTTATAACAAAAAAATAAATGAAAAATAGTCACCATAACTATGCCAGTGATACACAGCTCTATATTGTGATTTTACCAGAAGACCAGGATCCCATTCAAGATTGAGCTGGGTGAATGCAACAAGTTAATATCTGAATGTACCATAACTTCCTTCAGCAGAACAGAAACAAAACTGAAGTTTTCATCTTTGGACCAAAAAAAAGGGAGGATCTAGAGCAGGGGTCTCAATTTACCCGGGGCGCTGGAGGCAGAGTCTGGGTGAGGCTGGGCCGCATAAGTAATTCCACAATTTAGTTTTTTTTAAGCATCCTCAAATGTCATCAACATTTAATTATTTCTCCAATACATGAACCGCAGGCTTTGGCTTTGACAAAGACATTATGGGGGTGTGACAAAATTTAGGGTGAGTTCACACTGCAGCCTGAAGTGACCCAATCCCGACTTTTTGTCAAATCGGATTTTTTTTTTGCCGGGCCATTCACACTGCCACACATATGGAGCATGTAGGTGTTCTGTAGTCTGAACGGGCAAAAGACCTGAAAGTGTCCCGCATGCACAGTAGAGGGCGCAATAGTGTCAGCGTTCTCAGTGTTTCACCAACCGTCATAAAAAGAAATGCTCAGTGTTTGCGGAAGTAAACATGGAGGCTAACGGTGGAGCTTAGCTTACATATTTGAAGTTGTTCTTCGGCCGGAGCAACATATTAACAACTTAATCCTCATTATAGTCCGTCATAGTTGTTTTTCTTCCCACTTGCGCTTATCAGGACGCAGAATTTGTTGAGTATCAGTGATATTCAGTTCGGATGAATGCGGCCTGGACTTAAGGTCGAATTTGAATCGGATACGTATCGGATATGGGTCGCATTCGAAAAGAATCCGACCTGTGCTGTTCACACTGCCATGAAAAGATCAGATAACAGGTCACATTACATCAAAAAAATCAGAATTGGGTCACTTCAGGCTGCAGTGTGAACGCACCCCAAGTTTATTCCACTTGGCGTCGCTCTAGTTCTACGTTTCACAGAAGTCTTTAGCCAGTTAGCAACGTTTGGAGAACGTCTCGACACGTGACGTCATTACCGCTTCTACTTATCAGAACAGCGCGGCGGATGACAAGCAGCCCGGTAGCAGTCGCCTTTCTCTGCGTTTGATTGTTAATGGTAGAAAGTACCGGAATGGCGACTGCAGGGAAGGACAACTGGTACCGGACTGGTCCATCATCCGCCACACTATTGTTACAAGCGTAGTGAGCATGAAGTCAGTGCAGCTTAGCCTAGCACCGAATGTCAGCCATTACTAGGAACGGTGGGCGGGACTTCCTTCAGAGGTCTGCTCACCCTGTGGGCCGCACTAATATTATACTTTCATATCACGGTGGGGGCCACGAGACATCGTCCTGCGGGCCGCAATTGGCCCGGGAGAATGAGACCTCTGAAATAGAGTCAGCACATCTTCAGTTATTTACTATCTAGAAACTAGTGATTGGGTCTGAAATCTGGGTGTAGTGATGGACTCAGACCTGATCCTTCAGAGCCACATCAAGACAGTAACAAAGTCACAAAGGAGAGTCTTAAGTGTCTTAATTCAAATTCAGAAATACTTTATAGATCCTAAAGATGACGATTGACTGTAGTGTGCTGAGTGGTGCAATTTGATTAATAGCAAGAATAAAATTAAGTAAAGCTAAATGTTATTGGACCTCAGTCTACTCAATTCAATTCTGAAATACTTTATTGATCCCAGAGGGAAATTAAATAATCCACGTAGACTATGAGACTAGGACTCTACTTTACTAATCTTAGGTTAAGGCACTGTATGTATTCCTTAGAGGCACCTTGAGGTACCTAAGGACAAGCCAATGAGCCTTGCTTTGTTTTCTCACATTAGTCTGTGACCTTATCTTGGATAAGCAGAATACAATGTGTAGAAGGATTTCTTCTTTTATGTGTGACACAGTTCTGGGTTATTCACATTCAGTGGTTTTTCAGTGTGAAAATTCGAACAATTTGTGAAAATGCAGACAAACATCTTTCCAAATCCAAAATTCTTTACTGTGATATATTTGTCCTGCTCTTCCAGTAGAATGAAGAAATATTAAATAAGGAATCATTTCTAAACTCAGAAGGCTAATCTTGTCCTCCTGTTAGGATGTCCTGTTCTGCCTTCATCTCTCATTTCTCTCTTATTTTTCAACAGATGGTCGAAGAATCATCCTGGTTCTGATGCACCACACCCGAGACGCTGACTACTCAACGGCTGGGATAAAGTGGTCAGAATGCATTGAAAACGTCGTCCTGGATGTTCACGTTCTCTTCCATGAAAGTGTCCCAGGGTTACTGAGCTGTGAACAAAATCACAAGGCAGTGTTGCAAATAAGACATTTTTTAGAAAGACACAAAAAGAATTCAGATCAGAATCGGGCTTTGGTTGGGTATGGCTATTGGCTATTGTGTTGTGTTTTTTCTTGGGTCTTGTCTGATGACAGGTCTTGGATGAGGCTCTTGAACTGGTTCTGGTGTCCAGACAGGCTGTGGGTGAGGCTTGTGATTTGGTTTGGCACTCAGCTTTTTCATTTGATTTCAGTTTTGCTGTCTTATGTAAGAAAACCAAAAGTTATTAAAGAAAGACTTCCTTAATACCATTGTTAACTCTACAACTTATATGTGTATGAACAAGTTGTTTAATGTCTCCTACACACAAACATAGTCATTAGAAAATGATCTATATGAACACAGGTACAGTTATATGCAGACTAGAAAACATTTAATAGGTTCCAAAGATCTTTATTATGAAATTGAAACTCTACTGAAAAAAAGGATTTTGCAATTGTTAGACTTTACTAAAATAAAGTGTTTATGATAGTGAAGCTGGTATAATAAACTGTCCAGTTAGTTGCTTTTTAATGAAGATCAAATAGATGCTTTGAATGAATTAATTCTTGTGACTCTTCTTAATGCATGTTGTAATCTTAACCTTGACCTTTGTAACTTTATAACCTCTGTCTATAACCATTGTAATATGATGTTTGGGAACTGTTTTCTCTGACAAATAATCAATAAAGCTTGAAAGAATAATAGAATATTATCAGCGTTGGTGTGATAATGTCACACACATAATACACGTTTCTGTTTAGCTCTTTTGTGTGCTGCAGTACTGAGTCTATAGAGATCTAATGAAAATTAAGGAATGAGGAATGAATAGCAGAAAACATCAAGGCTTGATTAAATTCAACCAAAACTTGTGAGAAATTGTGTTAAGGAACCAAACGTATACTTTTAGTTATAGTCTGTAAAGTTAACCCATCACCAAGACAACACCATATCTACAGGTAAATATGGATGTAGCAGCATCATCATCTGGGGCTTGTTTTCTTCAGATGGAACTAAATCTGTTGTCAAAGTGGATGAAATCAGAAGTAGTTCTAAATGTCTATCAGTTTTTACCTTAAAATTTAAGTGGAAAATTGGAATAGAATAGAAATAACTTTTATTATGCAAAATGACAGGAAAGTCAAAAATTCTGAATTCACACAAAAGTGAAAACATAAGGACAAAGATAGTGATCGTAAAGTCAGGTTTATGACATAAGAATACTGTGTAGTTCTTAACTATTCTATACTAAAATAATACATGCAAAACACTCAGTGTCACTCACTCACTAATCACAAGTATAAATTAAGAAAACAGAACCCATATGTTTATTGTTAATACCACATCATCTAGACTTTTATGTTAAGATTATTGTGGTACAAAAATATGTGTCTTTTGCATTCCCTGTTCATGTGTGTGATTTTATACTTTTACAATGTTAAAAATAAATAACATTATTTATTTAACTTTAACTTGTTAACTTTTTAGCCTGTTTAAAAGTAAGCTCAATAAGAGTTTTTTGGTCGGGCTTCTTATAAAACGTGACTGTCTGGTGCTTTAAAAAACAAAAACATGCATAGTCATAATAATGACTCATTACTATAAGACAGCAAGTTTTATAGCATGATACATTGACATAGTATCTCATAATTATGAATTAGCTAAGGCAAAGCTATGAGATACATTTTTTATAAAACTGGGCTTCCATTTTTATCTGAAAGTGAAAGTGAAAGTGATTCGTGCAAACTGCGTGCTTGTTGAGCAGCCTTCCTCATTCGGTGTCAGTCTCAGTAGCAGCACAGCAAAACCAGCAGCACGGCAAGAGGTATGAATCTATTAACTATTTGAATGTTGTTAGTGAA